GCTCGCTGCAACTAGAGAAAGCCCGCGTGCAGCAGCAAAGACCCAATGCAGCCAAAATTAAATAAATAAATAAATATTTTTAAAAAACATAACTCTGTAATGACAATAAGATTGTACCATATGGACTAACCATAATGTATTCAAGCAATATCTTTTGTGGTTATTTTGATTATTTTTCTCTGTTATTAACAGTATGATGATTAACACATAAATCCTGGGAGCCCCCTGGTTATGTCCATACAATAAATTCCTAGAAATGTAATTAGTCAAAGAATATAAATACGTAAGAAGTTTTTTACACACATTCCAAATTTGCCCAGAAGGGGTCTGATAAATTATAACTCTGTATGTGTAAGAATTTCCATTTCACTGCTGGATATGACAACTTTTAAAAATCTTCAGCAATTTGATAAATGAAGACCTGTACTATTGATACATTGTTACTTTAATTATCGCCTGATCATTACTGAAATTGATGTTTTACATATGTTTATTGCAAATTGTCTGATCAGGTCTTTGTCCAATCTGATCAGATCTTTTGTTTATTTTTTATTGGGGAGTTTTTTTCTTATTGTTTTGAAGAGCTCTTGTATATAAAGACTCAACTTATTTGCTGGGGTTTTTTTCTCAGTTCTCAATTATCTTTTATGTTTGCTTATGGTTTTTTAACTTAAATTTTTAATATTTATTTAGGCTGTGCAGGGTCTCAGTTGCAGCATGCGGGATCTTCATTGCAGCACACGGGATCTTTGTTGCGGCACATGGGATCTTCATTGCGGCATGAGGACTCTTAGTTGTGGCATGCGGACTTTTTAGTTGCAGCATGCATGTGGGATCTAGTTCCCCCACCAGGGATCGAACCCAGGCCCCCTGCATTGGGAGCACGGAGTCTCACCCACTGGACCACCAGGGAAGTCACTTAACTTAAATTTTAAAATTCTTAGGAGGTCAAATCTATCAATATTTCTTTTATGATTTCATCCTTTGCTTTCTCACTGAAAGATCTGGTAAACATTCACCTATATTTTCTTTATTTTAAAAATAATTTTCTTTAAAAAAATCAGCCCTACTGTTTATGCAATAAGTATATGATTTTTTTCTACTTAGCCAATCAAATATCATCCTATGATTATGAATTGAGCAGTGTGACCTTTTCTTATAAATATGAAGCATACATTTATAATGTACAAAATTCATATATATGTGTGTGCATGCTTACACAATTACCAGATTTTCTATCTTATATCCATTAATTTGTAAGTCTGTTCTTGAAACAATATGAGATTTATTTATATACTGTAGCATTTTGATGCTTGGTACGGAAAGCATTCCCCAAAATTCTTATTTTGCTACATTTTCTAGGTTATTCTCTTTCATTTATTCTTCCTATAACTTTAAATTGTTATCACAATCCATAAACAATCTCATAGTAATTTTATGAGAATGACTTAACACTTAGAAATTAATTTTCAGAGAATGTACATCTTCACAATTGAGTCTTTTGTAACGTGGTATGTCTCTGTTTAGTCAGGTGTCTTAGGTACCTCAAAAAACGTTACCATTTTCATCATAGATTCTGTACATTCCTTTTAAGGTGCTTATTCCAAAGTACCTTACTTTTTATTGCTATTGTGAATTATTTTTTGTAGATTTTTTTTACTGCAATTGAAAAAGCTGGACAGAAGACATGTGTGTGATGTACATCATGAAGAACTACCTCATTCCTGTGCTAACGGAATTACAGCACGCAGCCCTGATGGACAACTTCCTATCCACAGCCCCACACTTGGAGGGGAAAAAGCGATCATGTGTGCAGTGTGTATCAGTTAAACTTAAAGGTTAGGCTGCTATAGCCAAAAGACCTAACAACACTGTGGAACAGAGAACAAAGAAGTTCATTTCTCCCTATGATAGTCAGAGATAAGCATACCAGCCTGGTGGGCAGCTCCGGTCTATGAGCCCAATCATGGACCCATGTTGCTTCCAGGTTACTGCTCTGTCACCCCATAGAGGATTGTTGTTGTTTATTTGGTTAAAGCTAGACTGCCTCTAAGTCAACATTGCAAAAGGGACAAAGGGAAAAGAAAGTGTTGGAGGGATGTACACAGCCTTAGGTCTAGGCCTGGGAATGACACACAGTACTCAGACTCCATTTGAAAGAACTTGATCACGCCACCACACTGATGTGCAAGGTGGGTGGGAAAATACAGTCTAGCCCTGTATCCAGGAAGAAAACAGATATGGTGGACAGCTACCAATACCAGCCATAATGTGCCCCCTCAGGAAGAAAATGTGATGAGAGGCTGATCATTTAAAAAGGGATATGTATGTCCATAAATCGTATCAATGTTTTCTTAGGTCAGTCTCCCCAGGCAATAGAAATAAAAACAAAAATAAACAAATGGGACCTAATCAACCTTACAAGCTTTTGCACAGCAAAGGAAACCATAAACAAAATGAGAAGACAACATACAGACTGGGAGAAAATACTTGCAAATGATGTGACCAACAGGGATTAATTTCAAAAATATACAAATAGCTCATAAAACTCAACAACAACAAAAAAACAAACAACCCAAACGGACAGAAGACCTAAATAGACATTTCTCCAAAGAAGACATTCAGATGGTCAATAGGTACATGAAATGATGCTCAACATTGCTAATTATTAGAGAAATGCAGATCAAAACTACAATGAGATACCACCTCACAGCAGTCAGAATGGCCATCATTAAAAAGTCTACAAATGGGCTTCCCTGGTGGCGCAGTGGTTAAGAGTCCGCCTGCCAATGCAGGGGACACGGGTTCATGCCCCAGTCCAGGAAGATCCCACATGCCGCGGAGCGGCTGGGCCCGTGAGCCATGGCTGCTGAGCCTGCACATCCGGAGCCTGTGCTCCACAACGGGAGAGGCCACAACAGTGAGAGGCCCGTGTACCGCAAAAAAAAAAAAGTCTACAAATAACAAATGCTGGAGAGGGTGTGGAGAAAAGGGAACCTTCCTATGCTGTTGGTGGGAATGTAAGTTGGTGCAACCACTATGGAAAACAGTATGGAGGTTCCTCAGAAAACTAAAAATAGAATTACCTTATGATCCAGCAATCCCACTCCTGGGCATATACCTGAACAAAACTATAATTCAAAAAGATACATGCACCCCAGTGTTCATAGCAGCACTATTTACAACAGTCAAGACACAGGAACAACCTAAATGACCAGAGACAGAGGAATGGATAAAGAAGATGTGGTATATATACACAATGGAATACTACTCATCCATAAAAAAGAATGAAATAATGCCACTTGCAGCAACATAGATGGACCTAGAGATTATCATACTAAGTGAAGTAAGTCAGAAAGGGAAAGACAAATACCACATGATACCACTTATATGTGGAATCTAAAATATGACACAAATGAACCTACCTACTAAACAGAAGCAGACTCGTGGATATAGAGAACAGATTTGTGGTTGCCAAGGGGGAGGGGGTTGGGAGAGGGATGGAGAGGGAGTTTAGGGTGAGCAGATGTAAATTATTATATATAGAAGGGATAAACAACAAGGTCCTACTGTACACACAAGAAACTATATTCAATATCCTATGATAATAGGATATTGAATATAGTTCAATATCATATCCCTTTTCCCATAATGGGAAAGAATATAAAAATGAGAATGTATATATATATATATATATATATATATATATATATATGTATATGTATATCTGAATCAGAAAAACCCTGGGTCTCTGACGACTCTATAGCACTGAGCACATACTGCCTTAGACTTTTACACGGAAGAGAAATAATCCTTTACTGTATATAAGCTGGCTCTCTGTGACAGCAGCTGGGACTGTATCTTAATTAATACAGAATGTCAAGAACTCTTTCTGGACACCTGTGAATTCGCTTGTCTTGGCTGTCCAGGGTACACTTATGCTGCAACAGCCCCTGTGCACAGCTTTGGGGAATTCATTCTCTCATTCCCTCCCAACATCTGCTTACTCATCCCCCAAATATGTGTGGAGAACCTGCCCTGTGCCCGGTACAGAGCCAGGCTTTGGGGACATAACAGTGAATGAGGCAGGGGCTCCATCCCTGAAGTTCGTTTGGATAAGACTGGTCACATTAAGCAGTGTGTAAGCATGAGTTGATGGAGAAACTCAGAGAGGGCTAAGAAATTCTGCTGAAAGTAGTCAATGTCAAGCCAGAGACCCACACCCATGTCTCTCAGGACCTGTAAACAGGTGCACACCATGCCAACTCCACAGGAGGAAAGGTGGCTCTGGAAGAGAAATCCTAAGATGGTAACTTGTTTTTGCACCTTCCTTACTTGCCTTTCATATAAGGTTCTACAGAGTTTAGAAACCCTACCAGAATGCAGTGATACAGACTTTGCTTTAACATTTTAAAGAAGGTTAAAGGAAGAATGATTCTAACTGACCCCATGAGCTCCCCTGCCACTGGCAGGTCCTGTAACCTGCAGCCCTCACACCTCTAGGGCTGTGTTGGTGTGCTCTTTCACACAAACAGCTGGGCTACAGATCAGCCTCAGTTCCCGCAGCCTCTCACCTGACGTCGCTCCAATCAAACTCAACCCCTGGCTGTGTACTAAACGCGCCTTGTGCTTTTCAACTTGTGGGCTTTTGTTCAAACTGTGCCCTGCGCCTAGAAAGCCCTTGCTCCAGGTTGTCTGATGGAATCTCAAATATCATGAGGATTCTCCTGATCCCCTGGGTTGAAAGTGTTCACATACACACAGCCAGACACTTACGTGAGTCTGCCTTGCCCCCAGCCAGATTGTAAGCTCCTCAGACCAGAGGCTGTGTCTCTGTGTCTAGCTCATCTTGGTGTGGCCTTAGTGCACAGCTGTGCATGTGAGAGGGCCTTAGTACATATCTGTTGGATTTGATTAGGTTGAATTTTCTCTCTTGTGGCATGGTAACAGAACAAAAGGGCTCCACAGGAGGAGCCAGGGCGTGGAGATGATGGGCTCACCTTGGCAGTGTAGAGTTGGTTTTCTTGTAGGTAAAACTGGGATAATAATGATACTTCAGTCTGCTGCAGGAGTAAAGAGTGGACATCTAGAAACAAATATTTCCTCTGAAGCAAGCGAGGTCAGTGTTGCATATATCCCTCTAGATGCACTCCATAGCACAGCCAGCCACAGCTCTATTGCTAGAAAAGAAAGGAGATGCAGGTGTTAATGGACAGCTAGCAGCCTCTGCCATATAAACAAGCCAAAAGGAAATGAATGACACATTTAATTACATTAACTTAAAAATTCTATTCAACCAAGACAACAAAAAGGTAAAAAAGGTAAGCATTAGACAGGAAGAAAATGTTAGCAACATATATAATTGACAAAAATTAGAATCTATGAAGAACTCTTTCAAATCAATAAGAAAAAGAGAAATAATAGGAATGGGCAAAAGATGTAAACAAGCAGCACTCAGAAGAAGAAACCCAAGTGGCCAATACACATGTGAAAAAACGATCAGCCTCATGAATAACTGGGGAAAGGCAAATTAAAACCATAAATAGATACCATTTCACATCCATCAGCTTTGCATGAAATTTTTTTTTTTTTTTTTTTTTTTTTGCGGTACGCGGGTCTCTCACTGTTGTGGCCTCTACCATTGCGGAGCACAGGCTCCGGACGCGCAGGCTTAGTGGCCATGGCTCACGGGCCCAGCCGCTCCGTGGCATGTGGGATCTTCCCGGACCGGGACACGAACCCGCGTCCCCTGCATCGGCAGGCAGACTCTCAACCACTGCACCACCAGGGAAGCCCCTGCACGAAATTTTTAATCTGACAATACCAGAATAAAGAGCAGGGTGATTCAATCACTGTTGGAAGTTGTATAAATTAATGCAACTGTTTTAGAGAATTTGATGCTGTTAAGAAAAGTCAAAATGCACATATCATCTGACCTATCCATTCCACCTTTAGACTGGTATCCTGGAAAAACTCTTGCACGTGGGCACAAGGAGAGTGCAAGGACACTCATAATGACATTATGTGTAATAGCAAAATAAAAATATTACAAGCAACATGAACGTCCATGAACTGGAGAATGGATACACAAATTGTGATTTATTAACACAGTGGAATGCTGTACAGTCACTAAAACAAATGAATTAGAGCCATGCAGATTAATACAGATGGATCTCACAAATACAACTTCGAATAAAAAGAGAAGGTTGCAAAAGAATCATACAGGATGCTGCCATATATAAAGTTTGAGAATATGCCAAACAACTCCCCATATTGTTTAGGATACACAAATTTATGGTGGAAATATAAAAGAATGCATGGAAGGGTAAACACAAAATTCAGAATACTAGTTTCCTAAGGGCAGTGGGATAGGGAAGGGGGAAGATATAGTCATCGTGAGTGCATAAGGGATGTCAATTGAATTGATAATATTTTATTTCTTGAACTGGGTAGTAGGCACATAAGTATCCATTTAATTTTTTTTAATCCTTTTTCTATGTCTGAAAATATTTCATGATAATTTTCTTTTTTTTTTTTTTGCGGCACGCGGGTCTCTCACTGTTGTGGCCTCTCCTGTTGCAGGGCACAGGCTCCGGACGCGCAGGCTCAGCGGCCATGGCTCACGGGCCTAGCCGCTCCGCGGCATGTGGGATCTTCCCAGACCGGGGCACGAACCCGCATCCCCTGCATCGGCAGGCGGACTCTCAACCACTGCGCCACCAGGGAAGCCCCATAATAAATTTTTAAATCATGTTTTAAGAGAACGGGTTTGTGGTAGTCAGGGCCCAAGACAGTCCCACTGACCCTGGCCTCCTGGTATTCACACCCTTGTGCAGTGGCCTCCCTAAAATGATGGTGTGTGACTTCTGATGCTAGGTCATAACAGGCATTGGAGTTTCTGCCTTGTTCTCTTGTACCACTTGCTGTAGGGGAAGCCCTCTGCCATGCTGGAGGACGCTCCTGCAGCTCTGTGAAGAGGGCCATGTGGAGAGGAACTTCCCGCCAACAGCTTGTACCAACCTGCCAGCCATGTGAGTAAGCCACCTGGGAATCAGATCTTCCAGCCCCAGCCAAGGACTGCAGTCCAGGTGACATCTGAGTACAGCCGTATGAGAGACCCTGAGCCAGGAGGACCCCGCCAGGCTGCTCTGAACTCCTAACCCACAGAAACTAGGAGGAAAAAGTAAACGATTCTTGACTTAAGGCACTATGGTTTGGAGTGATCTGTTATGCAGTCGTAGATAACTACTGCAGGGTCGTATTGAGTGATCACCAGGTTCCTTCAGATCTAGGCTTCGATTTCTCCCACCCCTAACTCCATTCATCCATTCACTCAGTCACTCAACTTCTGTGTAGAAGAAACTTCAAAAGTCTTAGGATCGCGCTTCCCTGGTGGCGCAGTGGTTGAGAGTCCGCCTGCCGATGCAGGGGACACGGGTTCGTGCCCCGGTCCGGGAAGATCCCACATGCCGCGGAGAGGCTGGGACCGTGAGCCATGGCCGCTGAGCCTGTGCGTCCGGAACCTGTGCTCCGCAACGAGAGAGGCCACAACAGTGAGAAGCCCGCGTACCGCAAAAAAAAAAAGTCTTAGGATCACTTCTGACTCCCTTTGGGATCCAGTCCTGGGCTAGAAACACTCTAAATAGTTAATAACTCAGAAGTTTAGTACTTCTTAATTTTACTTAGAAGAGATTCAGCTCACGAAAGAGGTCCTCCATCCTTAAGTTAATGCTATTGCAGAAAGTACAAGAACAGGCTCCAGAGGGAGAGGGCCTTGTGCTGTAACATGCGATTATATGTTTCCATAAGTATAGATCCTGGAACTGTATGTGGTATAAAGTAGTAAAATGCTGGATCATATGTTTTAGTATATATACTACCCTGAAAAGATTTCTCCCACCTGCCCAAAATTTACTAGCTACTAAATCTTTACTAACCACACCCACCAACCTCACTGCTTCTCCATCTGAACTATACCAGCTACCTGTGATCATCTGCCAGATCAATAGGGTCTAGAAAACACAGAGATAGACCCACAGCCAAATACGCTTAAGAATCAGCCTACCAGCAAAGACACATCCCACGAAAATATAACAAGAGCAAAATTTAAAAGAGGCCGGTTGTGGGCGAATGCAGGTACGTGCCAGCTCCGTGGCTGCAGTTAAACTTGAAGTACGTTCCCAGGGGTGGATCCCGACGTGATGCTACCCGGAAAGACGCACAGCCTGACGGACTTACAAAAAAGCTTTACTACCAGCACTGCTCAGCTCTCTGTCTTTCCTTAAAGTTGCTGTGCAACTTTGCCTTTACTTGGTGTGATAAAATGTCACTGACCTGAGGTGAGAAGACCTGGCGGGGGTGGGGGCGGGGTGTGCGTGTTATAATTTGGGCTTCTTTTGTAGACTCCAGCTAGCATAAACTAAAGACAACTTTACTGAAAGGAAAATAAATAACCCACAGGATGGAAAGAAGAGCTGAACAGCCAGGCTCTGAGTCATCCTGGGGATCATGGAAACAAGAATCCACTGGCCTTCTCTTTATACAGCTCCAACACCTTCCTCCCCCAGAAACTCTCCCCATGAGATTCAAGTGTCCAGTATAAAGAGCCCAGTGGACTAGCTAGAGCCATACGCCTATCCCTGGGGGTGGGAGACAGAAGGGGTTGGAAAGGTGGGACAGTCCCGTGACTGGCAGACCCACCAGAATGCAGTGATTACAAAAAAGTCAGTTTCCCAAAGAAAGGGATGCTGCGCTGGCAAAATAAGAGATGTCCATTCACTGTCTAGCCTTATATGCTTGTCATAGGCTTAAATAAGGTCATGCACCTCTGAGAGTTTCTCTTAAATCTCTGTAAATGTAAAGTTCTTGCTCACTGTCTCTTTCTTGGATTTAGAAGTAAGCAAGAGCCTTTCCTTCTGACACCCCTACCCCTCAGAGGCCTGGAGGGAGCTGCAGCAACCTTGGGGGCACTACATCCTGCAGGTCCAGGGCTCTGAGCTCCAAGTCACAGCTGTCATCAGGAAGGGAAAACAGAAAATTGTTTCCGGGAGTGTTGTCTGAACCAATAATCTGAGGCTTAGGAGAAATGCAACTGCTTGGCCTTTATGGGAGGGGTGTCTCTGAAGTTACCACTTGTGTCTCCTTCATCGTCTCTGAGACACCCCCCCGCCCCCATATGGAGCACCCACGGTGTAACTCAGGACAATACAGTTCCCAGCCCCTGGCTGCAGCTCAGCCTTGGCCGTCTGTGCGGCCAAGTCAAGTAAAAGGAATCCACTGCCAAAGGAACTACAAAGAAATCGTAGCAAACCTTTCATCGGGTCCCACGGTGCAGACCGCTTTTCCCTTCTTTTACTCCAAATGCTGTTTCCAGAGCCCTGGCAGACTGACTGACATCCCCCTCCCACCCGCCTACCTCTCCTCCCCTTTAAGGTCCTCAGTTGGTAATGTCTTTTTCAGGCTCTCTCCTCCTCATCGGCTCCACTTCATCTCAATCACAAATAGAACGTTGGCAAATTGAGATGGGGAGGGACCAGCATTCTGGAGACAAGTAGGAGAGTAGAAGTAGGAGGTTCCTTAGGAAGCCAAACATAGGCTTGAACATCCCCATGGAACCATCTCTCATTCCTCATCTCAGACATGATCCCTGGGGAACCTTGAACAATGTGAAGAACAATGACCAGATGGGGTTACAGCCCCACCTGGAAGTTCCCATTAGGACCCCAGGGACAACAGGTGTCCTCCAGTGTTCATCCTGCTACCACAGACCTGTACAGCGACTGCCCCTCTCCTACTCTGTGTCCTGGGGGGGGGGGGGGGGGGAGTTTTCTTTGTTCCCAGTTCTTGAAATGGTAATAATTTTCCTTGTCATCCTGTCGTCATGGGAGACAAATGCATCAGTGTTAGTAATCCTTAGATAAAAGGTGCTTTACATGTGTGAAAAAATGAGCTTTAATTTCGTCTCTCGGGTATATGGTGAGGATTAATTAGTTAACCTTAGCAAAGTGCTATGATTGGCAGGGGGAATTATCAAAACCCTGGGGGAGGACTAGCTTTGAGTGTAGTCATTTCAAACTGTTCTGCTGTGAAGAGCAGCTGAGGTAGCGGCTCTGGTCTCTCAGATGTCACAGTCTTGGTTTCCGGCGACACCCTAGACTATACATGCCTGGCCAGGGGTGAA